CACATTGGCACCCAACTCCACAAAGTTATCACTGGCATCCTCGGGTAGGTCTTAGTCAATGTTCATATTGGGGCTTAAAGATTTTCGAACCAAATCGGTTTTGTTTGTCCCGTCCCCACATACAACACACTATCTACAAATGAAAATATAAACAAACAAATATATATACAAGGAGCAACATACCTCAGCCTGTGATGAAAATCACAAGACTTACCTCCGTTATCCGAAAATCACCTTCTCAATTCAACGCTTAGCCTTCCCTAGCAACGGTGCCAAAAATACTTGAATTATTTCTGTGTTTCAAATTTTTGAACATGAACCCTCAATGTGTGTATGGCTTATGTGTCTGGGTAAGTGTCACTCTCACTTGGGATCGATGCAAGAAATGGGAAAACGGGTGTATGGGATGAAATGTGTGTGTGTGTGAACAAAAGTGCTCTCCAAGCGTAGAGAAACTTTTGAGGGTCATTTTTTACTTGGAATTTGTATTCCATGGTCGTCTCCTCAGGGAAGGAAGGGAATTATGTTGAAGATGATTTTGGTGAAAAAGAAAAGTGTAAAAATCTTTAATGTTTGAGGTTTGGTGAATTGTGTTCTTGATGAAATTGAAATGGAAACAAGTGTTGACTAATCCAAAGAGATCATTCCAATGGGAATGTCAAGTCAACTCAAGACCTTCCTCCAATGGTGCCTAGATGTTTGCTTGATTCGTAGGAATTGATGGACTAAAATGGAGGTGAGGATTCAAGCATACCCAGTGATAAGTCTATAGTGTATCAAGAACTCACAACCATGTCGACACTCAACCTAGTCAAACCAAATCATTGTACACTATGAGGAGGAATGAAAAAGAGTTGATTTAGCATACCCAAGAGGAATTCTCCCTTGGATTAGTCAACTCAAAGCTTAGCTACTCATATTTAAAGCAAGAACATAAATGTAATGAAGAGACATTGTAAAGAAATGAAGATTGGGACTTGTATTAATGCAAGAAAACTTAAACTAAGAATAAAAACATTCAATACCCATTTTAAAACTTGAAATGAAGAAAGCTTCATACAACAATGGTGAAATCCAAAATGTAGAACTAAACTTGCAATGTGTTTGTAATAAATGACATTAAAGACATTAGATGAAGCTTACACAAGTCTTATAGAGGATTACAAGTGAAATAGATGGAGTAAATGTAAAAATCCAAGCTTTCTCTCTCTCTAAATTATATCTTATACCTAGGAGCTTCTCTCTCTATAATGCAATACAATTAGAATAATGCTCTAAGATACACATATTTCTATTCATGAAGCTTGCTCTAGGTGTATGACAGCCCTCCCATCCATAGGAGGCTGTGATGGCTTAGGTAGGCTAGGACAAGCTTAGCCTGCATCTCCATTGCCTTGGCTTTTCTCTCTCCTCCTCATTAATGACATTGCCTCCAAAGTCCAAGAATAAGTGTTGGGAGGCATGTGGATGTGTAAGGGATGCTAGGAGACAAGTTGGAGAAGTGTAGGTGGGGCCCCCAAATGGCAAAGCTTGAGTTGCAAACGGTCTGGGCATTTTGGACAAAACCTTTCAGAAGGTCGATGTAAACTTTCTATAAAGTTTGTGCAGGAACAGTTGAAATAGTATTCTAGTGAGCAAAACCTTCTGGAAGGTTGATGCAAACCTTCTGGAAGGTTTTGACAGTGAATAGGTAGACCAAGTGTAAACCTTCCGAAAGGTTTATAGCCAAACCTTCTGGAAGGTTTTCATCTAAATTGCATTTTTCTTGGCTTCTTCACCTTCCAATCCTTCCTTTAAGCTACCCCCTTATCTTCATTGACTTCAAACACTTCAATGGCGGCTTAACTGAAACCATTTATGTCTTTTCACCTACATTAACAAAAACTCCATTAAAGAGAAGATTAAACGTATTTCTCCCCAATATTCACAACAAAAGCAACTATAAAAGGGCATAACAACATAAAATATATGCAATATTTTGTGCTATTCACTCTAGTGTCTCATTTCCATAAACATGGAGTCATGCATATAATTCACATAACACATAGCATGTAGCATTTAATGCACATACCATATAATGCATAATGGATGCAATGGCCTAAACTTATACCTTTCAAGCCCAAGGTAGATCGAGAACCTAGGCTCAGATACGAAGTTGTGACGTCCCAAAAAATTTGAGTGCATTTTCTCAACTCATTGATCACCCATCAACCCTTAGAAGAACCCATGTATGTAACCCAGCACCACGTTATCACACGACCATTCCAAGACCCAATCTATATCAACTTACACTTAATATTGTACCAATTTCATCATTTAAACAAGAAGGCTCAAAGTCAGAAGGATTGACAAAGTTTTATTTAAGTTTTGAAAAATATGGAAGAGGTTTCGGTACCTATCTTACGTGGTACCTGTACCTGAGCCTTCTATTTTCCAGGTACCGGTACCTGAGTGATGAGGTACCAATACCAAGAGATCTTGTCCTCAAGTTCTTTCCAATTTTCAGGTACTGGTGCCTAGGTGACAGGGTACAGGTACTTGAGCCTGTTGTTTGCTTGGTACTAGTACCTACATGTCGTAGTACTGATACTTGAGTCCACTGTCCATAGAAGTATCCATACCAAGCAAACAACGGATTCAAGTACCACACCTAAAATGTTGACCTGTAAAGTGTGAGCCACGCTCAATAGGATATCTCTTAAAGAGACTACTCCCCAACCCAGATACATACAAAATGTTCACATGCAATTTAATAATCAACCAAACATCTATTTAAGAATATGTAATTCATAATGAATTTCACAATGCCATGCCATGTTAGGAGATGATACTCACATACACAATGCAACCCAATCCCTCCACCGTCTCCTATACCACATGCAATGCTATGCGTAGGCAACCCAGGCATTCCAAGCCTCCGCCATTGATGTTGCACATCTAATAACTATTTATAAAACTCCTTGTGTCTTTTTTTGGGTGGGTAATTTATGGATATCTCACCAAGGGTCTACCAGCCAGCATGACATTCGAGGAAATCTCACCCTAGGTTCCGAGCAACTTGCACACTTTTTTGGAATTTTAACTCAAGGCAAGTGTGTGAACCAAGTGACTAGATCTTGCACCCAAGGGAAGATCTATCCCTTCTTGCTACACCCGACACACTTTTTCAATGTAACCCGTGCGACTCAGTACAACCTAGGTCCAACCTTCCCGAGCCCACGTATCATCCACCAAAATTGGTGTTTGATCAAATCATGCACACACCCACACTCATATCCTATGCCCATAAATATGATACTTTCCATGCATATGCAAATGTAATGTACAATTTGCCTTTACCATGTCATGTTCAACATATCATGAGCATATTATGAACATGTTCCACCTCAATCAACATTTCTCAAATTCATCAATTATTAATTATATCATAAGCATATAATCACAATTCCCAACATCCTCAAAGCATGTTATGTCAATTTCATTCAAATAACATACTAAACTCGTTCAACGCATTTTATCAAACACTAACATGGCACCAAAATTATGTAAACACAAAACATGCCTAATTCAGTACATTCCTCTTGAAATCACATACTAGCAATTTCAACAAAATCAAATTCATGCTAGGATTTATTTTACACATTCTTATGTCATTTTTCATACTCTAGTTACACTATGAGTATATTTAAACAAGAGATGTCATCTCTAATCATCCTACCTAGTTCATATACAAACCTTAGGTTAGAAATAAACCTAGTTAGAGAAAGAGACCTACCTCTTGAAGTGTAATACATGTAGTAGAAGTTTCAAAATAACCCAAATCAAGCTTCAAAACTTTGATTCCAAGAACACCATCTTTGAGACCTTTGTGAAATCCATGATTTTTGGTACGTAGTTGTAGCTCTCATCGCATAGAATAACTTTTGTTCTTGGCCCAAAGCAATCCAATGAATGAGTAATCGTAGATCATAAGAAGTGAAGAAGACTTTGGTTTTTCTCTTTCCTCTCTCCCTTCTTTGTTTTCCAGAAAACCTAGCTCACAAATGGGGGAAAATCTGATTTATCCCCTTTTTATACTCTCCAATGCTTGGCTCTCATTGAGCCACACGTCTAACCTTTCTCTAACCCAATTTTGTTCTGAATCAATTAAATCTCAATCCATGTTAGGTTCAATATATTTTATTTGAACAAACTTTAAATTATTTTTTGTGATTCGCAATTAAAACCCAATCACGTTTATTTTAGTCACGCAACGCCTGATCGCGTCGTAAAATATGAAAAATTCAATTGTCTCAGAATTCAATGAAAATTGACAGAGTAACTAGATTCCGCAAGAAAAAACCATTGTTGAGGTCCGTTTTGTCATCCGAGTTTTAGAAAAATTTTAATTTTCAACTCGTACCGTAATAGCTAATTACCCTCTTACCCTTTTTAATAAAATTTTAAATTTTTCTCGGGTTTTACAATATTCATACTATTTGTCATGAGTTTTACATTCAATTAAGAGAAGTGGGTTTCGATCTTAAGATTTTGAGGACCACGGTACGTGGTAAGACGATAGAGGTGACAACAAATTTGATATCAAAGTACATGGAATATGCTAGGCCACCCCCTGATATGATTGATTACCCACACCCTGAGTACAGTGCTAAGAGTTTGGAAGAGTACATGAAATCGTTGTAAAAGCATCTGAGTCAATTTGATAAGCATTTCAATGTAGGGAGTTTTACTAAGGAGTATAGGACCATGATTAAAGTTTTGCATAATCGATTTCCAAAGGGGTCTGATAAGAGGTTGCCTCTCCTCAAAATTATTTTGTTGTATGAGATGATGAAGGGGGCTAGGATGGATGTGGTGTTGTTCATGTGGGGTGTTATCAGAGACTTTATTTTGGAGAGCAAGCCCAGGGGGAATATGTCTTTTGCTAATATGATTAAACACTTGTGTGTCAATGCGGGTGTAAAGAGGTTGCAAAAAACCATTTGACTACTTTTGAGAAGGGGACAATCAGTAGCTGGTCAAAGAGTAAGAGTGACACCATGTCTAAAGCTACTGGAGATAGGCCAAGTTTTGATACTTCTGCACCTATTAAACCTACCAGTACACCTATGGATACTAGTTCCATTCTTGTTCCACTGACTCTGAAACCCACTGTAAATCAGAGAGTGGGGAGGCTAGAGTAAAGGATAGATTACTTGGAGTCCGGGTTTGAAGAGATGAGAGGAAATTAGTTGTAGATGGCTAGAGATTAAGAGTTATCTTTGATGATCCAGAGGCTAATTTTTACAATTTTATTTCCAAGAGAGCCATTACCAGTGATACCGTCATCGACTACTGTAGGTGCTACTTAATCAGTACCTGTTCCACCTTCATTCACACCTGAGCCACCTCCTATAGTTGTGACTGAGCCCTGTGCTCCACTGTTGGAGGTTGAGAGTAGTGAGGCAAAGTATGAATCTAAGTTTGATGAGGTTGATGAAGGAGACTCTGAGTATATTAATGTTATGGTTTGTTAGTTTAGTTGTTTTAGGAAGTTATCTAGATGGGTTATGAAATGACTTAGGATAACAAACCTTTTGTTATATATATATATATATATGAGTCATCTTTTTTTTTTTGTGTTGTGTTTTATAATTTATGGTTTGTTTTAATTGTTTGTGTAATGATCATTTTACAAGTCTAAATGTGTATGGATGAATGAATGAATGGAGGGCATGCTTTCTATTTCTATTTTGCTAGAGACTAGAAAAGCTTCAGTTGGGGTTATGTGATTAACCCTAATTAGTATATGAATTAGAATCATTAAATAAATCAAATTGGCAAGATAAAATAACTAAAAACTATCAATTAGGGATTGTGCGGAAACTAGGATTTTATGTGTATTATTTATAAACTTTTTAGGTTTTCATGCAGAACTGCTGAAAATTGCAAGGAGTAATCTGTCAAATCTTGAAAGAACTCTGGAGTAAAGTGTAAATTAACCAAGGAACGGCCAGAAAGAAAAGAAGATCAGGATGAATTCTCCAATAAAGCACCACCGTCAAGACAGTGGGAAGGGGCGTACGGACGGTCCTCCTTGGTGGTTAAGCTTTATCTTCCACCTCATGCTTCTTCATGCTCTATATATAGGCCATGCATGGCCTTCTTCAAAGGAGGGCCGAGCGAGAAATGGGAGCTCCAGAGAGAAATCCAAAGAAAGAAAAAAAGAAAGAAAACAAAAAGAAAGAGAGAAAGAGAAAGTCATACACAATCCGGTCCATCATACTCTCCAGCCAAAACTCTATATTTCTATATTTTTGTGTTATCTTTATATTCAGATAATTGAACTGCCGCCACCTTTTTGTCTTAACTGATAAGAAAGGTGGTTTTAATTTAGTTGTTCCTTGTGAAAGAACTGTCCAAGTTTGTATTTTAATTACTTGTGTAATGAAAGAACTGTCCAAAGGAACACTAAGGATGTTTTAACAGTTGCATGGTATATAAAACTATCAAATTAATGACTTAAGTGATTCTCATGAACGGCTTGTCCTTCTAGATTACTAAGGTCATTTAACTGGTATACATAATAATATTGTTGGTTGAATATCTACGGTGTTCCATCGGTATGGCTTGACCTCCAAAAGAGCACTGAGGATGTTTTAACAGTTGCATGGTATATAAAACTATCAGATTTACGATCTAAGTGATCCTCATGAACGACTTGTCCTTCTAGGTTACTAGGATTGTTTAACTGGTTCATATTATAACCAGCTAACCTATGAAGTTGCTATGTTATAGCCTATTAATACCACCAACTAACTTAAGAAATTGTTGTGTTATGGTTTATTATGCACCTACTTACTATTATATGGTCAATTGAGTAGCCCAAATACCCCTCATGAATGGCTTGTCCTTTTATGTTATTAGGGTTAGTCAATTGACACACGTATACCACCAGCTAATCTAAGAAGTTGTTGTGTGACGGTTTATAAACATCAGACCTACCGGATGACTTTCTAGTGACATAAAAGTTAATTGTTATAAGGTAGAGTTTTCAGTATTTAACCAATATAAAGCATATGGGATCCTTAAACTGAAGGATACTTTTTATATTATTGTCTTGTCACAATTTATCTGCAAACAACTGCTTAATTAGACTAGTTATCAATCTAAGCTCACATCACAAGCTATCTAAAACTATCCTACTTTAAACAACAACTGCACTATTTTCATTTTATTTCCTAATTAGTAAAACTCTTCGTGGGATCGATCTTGGACTTAAACTGAGAAAACTATAATTTGACAACTTATACTTGGTTGGATAATATAAATCCGATCACACAAAAAATCAAATCAAGTTTTTGGCACCTTTGTCAGGGAGTTACAGTAATTTGGAATGAAATAATATATGAAAGTTATTTAATTTGTATTATATATCAATTGTGTGTTTTCTTTGATAGTTTATGTTTGTTCATTCATCAATTAGTTCTGTAAATCATTCATCTCCTTTATCTTCGTCATCTTTGTGTACACAAGAATCATTTGAATTAAGTATGTCTAGAACGTACCTAGGGAAGAACAACCTAGAGAACAAGAAGTAGTTCAAAATATTCGACCATTAAGAGAATATTTACATCACACACAAACTAATTTCCCGTCATATTTTGCTTTTCCAACAAATGCTCCAAATCTTAATATTAAGCCAGGAACAATACAGATATTACCATAGTTTTATGGTTTAGAAACTGAAAACCCTTATGTGCATATGAAAGAATTTGAAGAAGTCTGTGGAACGTTGCAAGATAATTCTGAAATTGTTAGATTAAAATTTTTTCCTTTTTCTTTGAAAGATAAAGCAAAATAGTGGCTTAACTCTTTAAGAGCTAATTCTATCACAAATTGGCAAGCTTTACAAACTAAGATTTTTAAAAAAAAAATTTCGATGCATCATACAAATATATTAAGATGTCAAATAATGAATTTTTTTGTAAAAGAAGGTGAAACTTTTTTTATCAATCTTAGGAAAGATTTAAAGATCTTCTCCAAACATGTCCACATCATGTGTTTGAAAATTAGACTTTAGTTGGTTTTTTTTATGATGCTCTTCCACCTGCAATGCAACAATTTGTTGAAATGATGGCGCAGGGGAATTTATGAGTAAAAATCCTGAAGAAGCATTTCAATTTTTTGATACTATTTTTGAGAGTTCCCAGATGTGGGACTCGACTTCTTCAAATATAATGAAAACTAAGCCATCTACATTCGAAAGAGGAAAATATATATTAAAAGTAGATGATGACTTAAGAGCAAAAATGGCTAATTTATCTCAAAAACTAGAAGCCTTAGAAAATGAAAAAATTAAGCAAGTATCTGTAGTATCTACTACTGATCAAATATGTGAAATTTGTGTGTTGTTAGGACATCCTGCAGCAGAATTTCTAGCGATACCAGCATTCAATGAAGTATTAATTGAACAATCTAATGTTGTTCCAACTTATAATAAGTCTTATTTAAATCCATATTCTGAAACTTACAACCCAGGATGGAGAAATTATCCAAATTTTAGTTGGAGAAATACATAACCTACAAATCAAACACAAGGTCCACCACAGCCACAAAATCAAGTACACTATCAACCATATCAACCCTCACATAAAAGAACTCTAGAAGATACTACGAATCAATTTATTCTAAGTCAAATGAATTTTAATACTCAAACAACTCAATCTTTTAATGATTTTAAAGCTCAAACATCTCAAAGTATTGAAGATATCAAGAGTCATCTAGCTAAGTTGACTCAGTTCCTCAGTATGCCAGAAAAAGGAAAATTATCATCTCAACCTAAACCTCCACAAAGTCAAAGTCAAGCTAATGTTGTCTCCTCTGAACCCTGTCCAAGTCAAGTACAAGCAAACACAACATTAAGAACTGGTAAGGTAATGGATAAAATTATTAAACCTAAACTTTCCAAGAAAATGTGTAAGTTAATTTCTATTAATGAACCAATTGAATCTAAACCAACCATGTCCTATTCCTTTCCCTTTTCCTCAAAGAGTCAAGAAACCTTCATCTGAAAAAGATCAATTTGAGATCTTTGAACTGTATAAACAAGTTAAGATTAACATTCCTCTATTGGATGCCATTAAACAAGTTCCAGCTTATGCTAAATTTTTAAAAGATCTTTGCACAATAAAAAGAAAACAAATGTACCAAATAAAGCATTTCTAACTGAACAAGTTAGTACTATAATACAACATAACACTCTTCTTAAGTACAAAAATCCAGGTAGTCCTACAGTTTCATGCATCATTTAAAATTTTCAAATTGAACAAACCTTACTAGATCTCAGAGCTAGTTGTAATTTAATGGCATATTCAGTGTATACACAATTGCAATTAAATGAACTAAAACCTACCAGTATTACACTACAATTAGCAAACTATTCAATAAAAACTCCAAGAGGAATTGTGGAAGATGTTATTATCTAAGTTGATCAATTTTATTTCTCAGTAGATTTTATCGTGAAAGATACGCAACCATTTTTTCATGCATCTGCATACATACCTGTTATTTTGGATCGACCATTCCTAGCTACATCAAATGCATTGATAAATTGTAGGAATGGAATCATGAAACTTCATTTGAAAACATGACCTTGGAATTAAATGATTTTAACAGTGAAAAATAACCTAGAGGAGAAGATGAAGTGCATGAAATAAATTTTGTTGAGTCCTTGACTCAAAGGTTTTTTGAAAAGATTTTTCTGAAAAAAGATTTATATACATTAGAATCTATATCTAATAATGAGTCTAAAAAGATAAAGAACTCAAAATGTGAAAATCTGTTGCCTAAATCTGAAGACTCCAATGTCAAAATCTTCAAGCCAGATTTAAAACCGCTTCGAACTAATCTGAAATATGTTTTCTTAGAAATAAAATAAAATTCATCACATTATCATATCATCAAATTTATCTGATAGTCAAGAAAAGAATTAACAAAAATATTAAAATGCTAAACCATCTCGTCAAATGCAAAGAAGACTAAATCCACACCTGAAAAAAGTAGTTCGCAATGAAGTACTTAATCTATTAGATGCAAATATTATATATCCTATATCTGATAGTAAATGGATTAGTCCTACACATGTAGTCCCTAAGAAATCTAGTATCACTGTAATACAAAATAAATTAGTTCCAATACGTAT